ACAGCAGTCAACTGAACACGGAGAAACTGTGGAAGAATTTAGCTATTTAGATGATGCATCATCTGAAAAGATGACAGCTTCATTTCTTAAGGTAAACAATACAGGAAAAGAATTAATCCTGAGTGTATATTTAAGGGGCCTGTGGAATACCTGTATGGGATGCTTTTGTTTTATTTCATTTCACAGTACTATTTTTATAGTACTGAACCCCCCACCCCCTTGAGACAGGGTGTCACTAAATTGCTAAATGGCTCAGGTTGGGTTTCAGCTTGTAATTCTCTTGCCTCAGTCTCCAGGAATGCTAGGGTTATAGGTATGTGCCACGGCACCCAGTTGGCATTTAGTTCTTGCACCAGAGAAAGGGTCTCAGATTTACACGTGGAAGTAACTAGCACATAGCATGGTGAGAGAGAAGAGAACTGGGAATTAATTAAATTTTGGAGAAAATAATTATGGACTGCTCATAATGTGAAAATCATTGTGCTACGAGTTGAGGACCTAATAGTGAAGCAAAAACTGGGCTACCTTCCATTTTTCCCCTTTTCTTCTTTTTTTGTCTAGTTTCCTCTCTCCCTCACATTAATCAATGTTTACTAATCACCTATTGTATGCTAGACACATATTAGTTGCTCAGGAAGCCCTACGAGGGCCCTGTCCTTGTAAAGGCCATATTCTAATGAAGTAGTAATACATTAAATCAACAAGATGGTCAGAAAACAGATCTTGAGAAGTAAGAACATGCTGAAAGGAGAAGAAGAACAAGGGAGGAGCATGGGGGAAAGGGAGGTGGGGAGAGGGAGAAAAGAGAATGAAAGAAGAAAGTGCAAACAAAGCTTTTGTAATAGGGGGGAAAAGAAGGGTTAAAGGCAGGGGAATGGGAAAAATATTAACATATATTTGTACAAGCACAAATATCATATGATCAATGTGATCAAAATGTATGGCAAACATACTAATAAAAAGGTAAAAAAATAAGAGTACAGCATTGCTTTATTTAGTTAGGTTATGATGACAGTGAGTAATAGAGTTATCAAATAAGAAACTAATATGGATTTTTTTGGTTTTTGTTTTTTTTAAAGAAGGAACGTCTAGGGAGATTTTTCTCCACAAAGAAAAATAAACTAGTAATGAGGGAATTGTTGCTAGAATACAAGATGAAAGAGTAGCAAAGCACTTTAGTGAGTGGAAGGAGGTGACAACCAAAAGCAACAGGTGGTTAAATTATTCCTACACATTTCAATTTGTTGCTATTGATGATGACAATCTTTTCTTCCATTATATCTTCTGATTAATATAACTCTTGCTATTTTCATTTATCTACTAGGGTAAATTCCAAAGGATCAAATATATAATATAAAAAGTAAAATAATACAAATTCTTGATAAAACAAATGTCATAATCGTAAAGAGGGGAGATTCAACTATAATGACACAAAAGCAGAACTCATAAGAAAAAAAAATCAACAAATTCAACTGCAGTGTATAGTGAAAATAAAAGTTTGAAGTAAATGAGAACTGGAATGCAATTTTGGAACTCAGTATTTCTCTAATTTATGATAAACTTCTATAGATCAACAAGAAAAAGAACAATAATCCAATACAAAAAAATGGACAAAGTACCAATCAGTGTTCAGAAACTGACTCTTACCTATGAAAACACATGCAAGCCTAACTAATAATAAAGAAAGAAAATTAAAGATAATCTGTAATCCTACCAGACTGGGAAATATCACATTATATAACAACAATGTGTTGGTAAAGTTGCAGAAAGCAGATACTGGATTATGAATGTGTTAAAAAGCAACACATTTACAGATAATGAATTAGTTGCTTTTCTGTCATTGGGATAAAATATCTGAAGCCCACAGCTTAAGGGAGGATAGGTCTACATGGCCCAGGATTTCAGGGGGTTCAGTCAATGGATAACTGGCTTCACACAAATGGCATGGATTAAGAGCACAGCAGAGAAAAGTTTCTCCACTCATGGCAGCCAGGAAGTACAGAAGGAAGAGCCAGAGCCAGAATCATACCCTCCAAAGGCATCCCCTGTGAACCACCTTCTTTAACTGGGCCTCCACTCCTAACAGAAAATTCAGCTATGAGCTCCCTTACTGGGTATAGCACCCATGTGATCTAATCATTTTCCAAAGGCCTTGCCTCTCAACACATACAACTTTTGGGTGAACAATCCCAGATAACATTTGAATAATATCTATAAAAATTAAAATCACATAACTGACACATGAGCTCTACTTCTAAAGTTGCATTTGTATATCAGTGAAATTAAATGTTTTCAAGGCCATTCATGAAGTCATTTTTGCTAGCAGAACAATAAGTCAGTAATATCCCAGGTAATACTCAATAGGATACTGGTTAAGTTACATCCATCAGGTCCAGTCACAGAAGTCAATGAGGAAGCTCTTTATGGGTTGATAAGCAATGATTTCCAAAATACCCTTAGCAGTGAAAATGCTACATATATATATATATATATGGCTTGAACATGCATGGAGTACTTCTGGAAGGGTATAAAAGAAGCAGGTAATATTGGTTGTCTCTGAAGAAGAGGACTATCTATGGGACATGGGTGAAATAACTCAAGTTTGCTTTTTATAACTCCTGAATTGTAAACCACGTACCTGTATTATTAGTTAAAATAAATTTTAAATGCAGGTAGGAAGTAATTTTATAAATGATTCCTAACCTTTTACAAGAAATATCTCCAAGTATAATGCTGGAGTCAATGAAATACAAAATATATAATGGTAAATACTTTCCACCAGTTTTAAATTTTTATAAAAATTTTCCGAACAAAACCACTATCGTAATAATAGAAAAGAAACATCTATGAAGATATTTAAAACATTTTATCAGGCTGGGGAGAGGTTTCAGTGGAATATGTTTAAGAATATTAGGAAGAAGGAATTCCAATTTGAGATTAATAGGTGAGAGGAAAATTAGATAACTATATTTCATATCTCTTCAGAAACACAATAGGAATATAACCTACATCCAAAAGATACTCCTCATGTGTGGATATCAAAGCCTGGCAAATACTATCATTCTATGCCATTGTCAAAATCTGGGAGTTGTAGACAATTATTAATCCTTTGGTTTTAGAAATATAAAATATGTCATAGATATTTTGAAGGCTCTACAAAGTAAGAATTTACAATAAATAATTTATGTACTTATGTACTTCTCATTCTTATCCCATTTCTTTTCGACTTTTTTACTTCCCACTTTCTCCCTCTCTACTCTTAACTCTCTCTTATCTGCACATCCTTCCCCACCAAGGCAACACCATTTATTCATACAGAGACAAATGGCAGCCATTCTTAACACTAAATTTAACCAAACTTCTTAAAATGCAATTGTCAGAGTATGACACCTACTGAGATTATTGTTGAGGGCTTCAGTAGTACTGTTTTCTATCAGAAAGAAGAAAACAAATTATAATTATATTTAAATCACAGGTCAATTGTATTGATCAGGTGGATATATGGACAGAAAATTTTCTAGAGTTCTTTTAAGTAGAGGAATAATTTTCAAAATGGAGCCAGGGCCTTTGAATTTAACATCCTATTAGTTGTTTCTCCCTAAGCTCTACCAAGAAGGCCAGTCCATCATGTTCACTGCTTTACGCTCTGGTTTTAGTGTGACATTTGACACCAAAAGTGTAGCCAAAATATTTCTTGAAAAGCACATTTATTGAAAAAAAAAATGATTCTCCAAAGTCAATTGTGTATTTTCTCATAATGGTGGTGCATGATGTGGTGATTAGAAAGGAAGAAAATGGGCTGGGGATTTAGCTCAGAGGTTCAGTGGCCTGCTTTGCAAGCGCAAGGATCCGAGTTCAATCCCTGGTACAAAAAAAAAGAACGGAAGAAAATACTTTAGAGATTCTTCTGAGAGTATTAAAAATGTTTTCCATACAGGTTTTTAAACATATTAGCTTATAAAATAAACCAAAATTAATAGAATATAAACATTTATAGAATTTTCTTACATGGGACATTAGAAATCCCTATTTTTAAATCAGAAAAAAAAAAAAATCGTAACAAATGTCTCACGCTTCCAAAAAGGCAAATGAGACAACTACATATTTTCTTTGTCCTATTGATAAATATGCATTCAAGAACAAGGCAACTCCACTGACTCTTTGATTACTCTTGACCAACTTTTATAGATATCCAAGAACACAGACTGGTGTCATATTTCTTAGGCTGTAATTACCGAATTTCACATTTTTACCTCAAATTCTTACTCATCACAGAAAATTCAACTTTGAAATAGAACTGACAGTATAAGAAGAAACAACAAGAAAGAAAAACCTGGCTTGTCAGGAATCTTTCATTTTCAGTAACTCAGTGCACATTGTAAAACTCTTGATTTCCACATATTTATTGCTGCCTTTTGTGATGTAGTACATAATCATTCTTCAAATATCATTTAAAATTCATCTAATTCTGCAGCTCCTTTTACACTATGGTCCTTAAGGACAGAAGATATGTTCTATTCACTCATGTCTGCACACCACCTGTCAAGTAGTTGATACACAGTAGATACTTAATAAACATTTACTAACTAGGGGTGTACTATGGGAAAACATGAAAAGTTTACAAAATTAATCTTTTTTTAAATATTATTTTGGTTAAATTCTATGTTTAATGTATACCACGTTGTTGAATACTTAATGTTTTTAAAAATTACCAGTGATTCTGTTATCATTACTGCTATCAAGTTAATTTACTTTTTCGATTTCAAATACCCATTTTAACATTCATTCATTTGCTTGATGTTATAGCTGGTTTCTAGATGTCTTCTGAAAGCCTCATGTGGTCATAGGCGGGTCTTTCAGAGGTGGCTGGATCTAGGATGTGTGGTGCTGGAATCAAGGTTGTGATGCTGGGATTCAGGGTGCAATGCTAGGATTAAGGGTGCCCCCTCCCCGTACTCCCCTAAGGGCGGTAGCCTGGATAGGATACGAGGGACAGAAAGAGGGCTTGCTGCTTGCTACTTTGCTGCTTTTGCTGACTTCTGCCTGCCATGAACTGTGTCTCCTCTGTGATGTCCCTCTGCCATGCCATAATGCCTTGGAGTCAGCAGATTACAGACTGAAACTTCTATAGAATGGGAGTCAAAATAAACTTTTCTTCCTTTAACTTTCTGCATCAGGTGTTTTGTCTCAGCACCAAGAAAAGTAACTAAACAGAAAAGTAATATCAAGTCACTGAAATAAATTTGAAAAATACCAAAACATAGTATTTTAAAAATCACAGCTTTAATATTCAAAGTCTATTCTTTATGTACGTATAGGCAATTCACTGAATATGGTCCTATTATGCAAGAATTTCTGTTGCAATGGTAGAGCTAAATAATGTAAATTTCTTCCAAACACAGTTCAAATTTCCCTTGCCACACCATATTAACCATGAAAAACTAAATAAGATATAAATTTCATTGCTAGATCTCTAATTCACGAGTCACTACTTCAGTGGTACCTATGCACAATGATAAGTGACCAGTCGTGCTGACAATTTTAATTCATGACAGTGACTGATAGGTAAGCAGCTGTTTATTCATTCACACACAGGCAATGAGCAGTGTAACTGTATCATTTCCTTGTCTCCAAATTATAAATTTGGGTGATATTTTACATAAATGAATAGTCAAAAGAAGAAACTGACAAACAAAGCTGAAAATGCAGCAAAGAAATCAAAGACAAGCTAATGGAAGCAAAATTAAAAGAAAATGTAAATAGATGGAGAGAGAGAGAGCACATGTAGGCACTGACACCACTGCCATGGAAGAAACCCCGTCTACCGCTGAGGAACTCGGTGAGGGCAAATTTATCGACCTATGTGAGGAAAGTGACTACCAGTGAAGACACAGATGTACTACCAGCAGAACTGGTGCTGGCAAAATTTATCAGTTAACGGGATTCGCAAAGATATAGAACATAAGAGAGGCCTTGAAAGAGAAAATGCTGGAAGCCGATCTAAACTTAAAACGGAGCACTCTGAGTCACTACTGTGTAAAAAGATGCCTCCGTACTGAGATCAGGTGAGCACTCTGCAAGCAACTCTTGAAAAGAATTTTAAAAAGAAGTACAGCATTTTAATTTTAATACATATAATGTTTTAAAATATAGTGTACTATATTAATATTGGGGTTTTACTGTTTTCTTCCATATCCCATACATTTATAACCTTGCAATAAATTTTTAAAAACTGTTTTGGGAAAAATTGTAAAGGTCATGATACAATGGTAATTTTTTCCACTGATTAGTCCACATCTACTTTTTTACTACTAAAATTACTTTTATAGTATCACACTATTTTGCAATGCTGTAACTGCCTGTACTTGAGGTTTATTTTTTGACTATGGTTGTCATTATACTCAGCTTCCTCATCTGGTAGGAGATTCTGCCAGAATGATATTCTTCAAATTATGGGGTTATTAACTAATTAATTATTTGTTGTTGCTTCTAAGCTTCATACAGGTCTTTTGCAAAAGAAGACAAAAAAAAATTTCATGTGTCTGCAAGCGCACATTGGTTGGTTAATAGCTCACTCAGGTGAAGAGTCCCCTACAATTTTTTTTTTTAATCAGTGATGCAAGCCTTTGTACAAGAGCTGTCCTGAATGTGGATAGGAGTTGTGCCTTGTTTCCAACTCAAAATATGCCAAAGGACCTGAAATGCTTCTTCTTTGATGAGGTTATGTATATATGCCAAGGTGATTTCTGTGATGATCTTTTATTAATAGGATTCCATTGTAGAAGAAGACTATTCTTCTGGACTTGAAGTAAAATGCCATGCTGTGAAATTCCAGTGAAGAAGGCAGCTTTTTGGAACCAAGCCCCAAGTAATCCAGACATAAGAAAATCAGTTGTGGATACAACCAGAATCCTTTTGAAAGAACGTTCTTCCCCAGGCAAAATTCCAGATGAGAAGAGCCCAGCCCACAATAAGTAGTATTGAGACACATCAGAAGAGAAACCAGCTGAGCCATTCTCAGACTCCTGCTCCACAGGAACAGAGATAATAAATGTATTAAGTTGCTAAGTCTGTGGGAACTTGTTATGCAACACTAGAAAATTAATATAGCAAGATTAAAATTTCTGATTCATGCTTTTTCCTTTAAAACTGCAATTATGGTCCCCAGATCCTCAAACATTTGGTATTCTAGAAAAAAACTGTTTTGAGGTCAGTTAATTTTACCCAGTTGTTTTATAGGGAGACTTTTTCACATCTACATAATTATGAAAAAATGCAAAATGACAAGAAATGTGCCAGGAAGTATTAAAGTATAACTACTCTTTACCAAATTTTTTACATTTATTTCTTTCATATATTTGTTTTTAAAAGTTTCTTGGATTTCATGTTAGATTACCTTTTCTATTTCAAATGTTTTGATTTCCTCCCATTCAAAAAATGTTTGTGCTCAGGAAATCCCATTGTTTTTAGTTTTAAATTCCATTCTTTTCCTTTATACTGTCTCATGTTTTAAAACCTTTGTGCCTGATTGCACTGTATGAGAATACCATCTCTCCTCTAGCTTAGAAATTGGATGTCTAGGGTCACTGCTACTTCTCACTACTGTACTTACACAGAAAAATTTAATTCTGATGTTGCATTTAATTTCTCTGACTGTATGTAAATCATCTTATCTCAACCTCTTCTGATTTCATCAATCTCTTTGTATCATGAATCATGTCTCTTCTTGAATCGTATTAAAGACACCAATATTTTACTTTTGATTACAGTATGTAGTGCAGTGTTCTTTGAATGATTCTTTCTATCAGTTGGTAGAATGAGATTTTCCCACTTGTTCTACATTTGGTGCATTTTGTCCCTTCTTTCCCATCCATGCTGGGGATTGAACCCAGGGCCTTACACATGATAGGCAAGCACTTTACCACTGAGCTACATCCTTGCATCCTTAGCTCCCATGTTCTCCTTAGTGAGAAGTGATGAATCTAGCTTTGTATTTGACAACTGGTATATGACAGTTCACGTAAATCTCTGTCCACATGGACAGAAACTTCTCAATTCTGCATCCATAATTTTAGAAGATTAGGATGCTAGCCCAACTTTCAGCAGGTTTTCAGCTGAATCAAGGTAGAATACATTTTCCATTCCTGTGATATCTTCATACAATAGCAGAGAGTGTGTTTTAGAAAGATAGGCTGTAGAATATGATGGGCTTCATAAATGCCCAAGTTTTACTAGCAATGCTAACATGGGCATACTATTTAAATTCTCTCAGTCTCCAAATTCCTCTAAGTAAAATGGGGATAATAATACAACATACAACCCAGAGTACTGAATGGATAATGCATGTGTGGGGTTAGCACAGAAGCTGACATTAAGGAGACACATATAAGCCTTCGGATTTGATATTCTAGTACAAAACATCAAATCACTAAATATATCACTATTGTGATTCTTTGCTAGTTCCTACTCTGTCATTTTGATATCTTTTCCAAAATAAAATGCCTGATATTCTTCTCTACCACACCCTGCTAATTTTTTTCAATTGAGTTACTGTTTCTGACTCAATGCATAAGAGATAATGAGGAGATGGTGAAAAGAATCACAACTCATATGGTTTTGAAAACCAGTCAAATGCATTGCATGAGATGTTAGTGTTGTTGTCACCATGGACCTGGTATGTCAGAATAGGCACATAGAGGCATATGGGTACCTTGGGTGGTGTCTCCAATTTCACAGAATGTTTAAAGATATTTTGGATCTTGAGATCAGTGGACATTTCTTAAAATTTCGTATTTTGTTTGACCAAGTTATCTCTGGCCATTAAAGCACATGTACCAATCTCCTCTGAATTCCAGAACTGAAAATAAAACTGCTAGTTATTCAAATACAAATGACTAGAAATCTCCCTCACTCAGCAGCTGTTCCTGAACCCACAAAACTGCTTCTCTTACTGTGGATATTGTCTCAGTGAACTGCATCAGTATCCTCTTAGTCAACCACACTAAATATTTCAGGGCAATTTTTATCCTTTCTTCTGCCTCACTTCTATCTTCAATCATTTAGTAAGTACTGCCCACTCACTTCTACAATGTCTCCCCAGCCTGACTCCTGCTTTGCCTTTCATATCCCCTCAAGCCTTACTTCTGTACTTTACCATTTTTCACTTGGGCTATTGTCACAGTCTCTGAAGTGGTCTTCAGGCCTCTAAAGTCTTGCCTCTCCAATCAACAGTCCTCATGTTGCCAAAATGATCTTCTTAGAATGCAGATGTCATCATGACACTGTCCTTGTCAAATACAAAAAGGTTTCCCATTCCCATAGAAAAATTTACTACCTCCTATGGCTTGTGTTTCAGTGTCCCCCCAAAGCCTCATGTGGTCTGGCTACGGCTTTTTCAGAGGTGGCTGGACCTATGGGAATTACATACTAGGGGAATTACTACTAGGGAGTTACATGCATGATGTTGGAATTAAGAGTGTGTGATTGCTAAACTAGTGCAATCATTGGTTTGGCATATTTCTAGGTAAGATAAGGGTGGCCTTCCTTGGGTGGGTACTTAAGGATACCCTTAGAGTGGGTAGCCTAGGTAAAATATAAGGGACAGAAATTGAGCTAGTGTTGTTGCTTGCTGCTTGCTGCCTTCTGCCTTATTCCTTCCAGGAATTGTTTCTCCTCTTTAATGCCCCTCTGCCATGCAACCCTGCCTTGGAGTCACCTAATTATGGACTGAAATCTCTACAAAATGTGAGCTGAAATAATCCTTTCCTCCTTTAACTTTGAGCATTGAGTATGTTGTCGTATCTATGAGAATACTAAAATACTGCGTTATGTTTTTTTTCCTTTTTATTGAGTTTACTGGTAAATTCTAGGTATACAATACAGTTACATTCATAATGCTGCCTTACTTGAAATGCAAGGTCTGTCACATGCTCTCACTTGAGTTTCATATCTGCAGTGGTATCTCCACTACATGCATCAGGGCCACTGCCACACTCAAATCACATTTAGCCCTTCCGCATCTAAGTTAGTTTTCATTTCA